GAGTCTGCATTGCGTTTGATGACACGGCTTCCTCTCAAACGATGTCCTCGAAGTCTTCAGCTTCGTCCTCCGAATCATTGTTGCCTTCTTCGCCGCTCAGTCCACCCGGCTCATTAACCTGGGATGTCTGAGCAGCCAAATCGCCTGGCGAAAGACCCCATCCACCAGATGTAACAGCGGCAGCAGAAGTGCTCGAAGACGCTTGAGCAGTGGTCTGTGGTCTGACATTTGCATACTCGGGCTTCAGAGACCAGTTCTTGGCGTAAGGTCCACGCTTATGAAAGTCGGCAACGGTAGACAAAACTTCCTTGAGGTAGATCTCGGGCTGCTTCGTGTGCTCTCGCAATCCCTTTGTGGACCAGTACTTGTACTTTTCGAACGCTTGCATGAGCATATCCAGCAGCTCGTTGCGAGGCAGACGAGCGAATTTGTCCGTCGATGTCGGCTTCGCAGCGACAGTCTGCGTCGCAAGCAAAAGGTTCACACATCAGCTTTCGACGCTGTCGAGGAGACCTTGATTGGAGTATCACTCACCACAAAGTTAGCGGGATTGCGTGTGCCAAAGCCTTGCACACCCGCAGCCAGCATGTTGTTCCGAGCCGTGTCGGTCTCATCAAGCATTTGCGTCCTGTCTCGCGTCTTGCTGGCCTCCTTTCTTTTTTTGAGCAGCGCTCGATACTCGGGAGTCATGCCGCTGGATGCAGCATTGTACTTTGAGCTAGAGGCAGCTGGAGCTGCTCTGGCTTGAGGCGTCGCGTGGACCTCGTTCGTTACCGTGCCCGTGACAGCTGTGCGCCCTAAAGAAGCGCAAACATGCTATCAGTAGAGGATCGAGCCGCACATACACCACAATGGCAGTTGCTCACTGCGTGTCCTCCTCCCTTCTCCTGTAACCTGCACCAAATCTCCATGACTGTCCAGGATATCCTCATCGCTGTCATACGCATCTCCCTCCTCTTCCCACTCCTTGAAAGCCCACGTATTTCGAGTGCTTCGCACCTGACCAGTGGCATGATCGACAGCCATTCGCAGATCAAAGCGCCTCGGAAAGTCTGATGATGCTGGCACGCCCGGGACGGAAGGCCCCTTTGTCTCTGGCAGATGCAGTTCCATGCGTTGATGTCCACGATGATCGGCACTTTGAAGGCGAAGCGGTACAAGGGCGGAATGAGCAAGCGGCTCAGCAGAAAGCCAGCGCAGATATGGCACGCGCAGAGTCAAGAGAGCTTCAGTAGTGCGCATGAACTCACTCGTACACTCTGACAAAGCCCAGGTTGACGTCGTCCTGATCCACACCGGCCCATGCCTCTTTTAAAAAACGGGGAACTCTAACGAGCCAAGCATTGGTTGCCGCGTCCGTCATGTCCAGCTCCTCATTAGGTTCCGGAGACCTCTCCCTCTTCCTGCCGGCAGCCACGTCTGTAGAAGGTCCGGCTGAGGCTCCCGCTGCGGAGTGAGAGGGGGTGCCGGATCTCGATCCTCGTAAGCCTTCGACGGGTTGAGGCGTGCCAGACGCCCGATTGCTCCCTCTTCCGCCTCCTCGTGGAGTGGACATGCCGAACGGATTGTTGCTAAGCACTTCAGTCAATAGGCGTGATTCGTACGTGTGATGACGCCGAGACGTCGCTGCGTCCGCGTCCGCGTCAGGTTGGATGGTGTTGCTGCTGGAGGGTATTGGACCCATGGACTATCGTCTCGTCATCGCCACGAGGCCCTCGCTTGACTGCAAAGCGCGCATACGCGCCTGTGCCGGCCGCGCACAGACTCTCTGGATTTCGCACGCGCACGCCGCGCCAAACCAGCAGCACCGTAGTTTCAGCCAATCGTGAATGACTCCGAGCTTCCTGATACCAGCACAACTGCGAGTCCATAGCTTGGCGAATCTTCACTCTGCCTCATTGTCTAGCTATTCAAAATGCCACCAAAACATGGAGCTGGATTTCAAGACCCGATCATTGTGGACGATTCGGAGACAGAGGACGAAGATGAGGCGCTAAAGAGGGGCGGCGGGGGCGAGGATATTTCAGGACCGACTCAGAACGAGGTCAGGCATGGAACCGCAGCAGGAGGATCGGTCGGTGGCCTGAGTCTGCTGGTTAGAGCTCAGCTGGAGACTGAGAGGAAAGAACGTGCTGCAAAACGTGCTATGGAAGAGGCCGGCCCTTCACAGCCGCCAGCCCAACGCTCTCGCATAACAGGTCCGTCTCGAGACGGAGCTTCCGTTCACAGCCTGACAGATGCTGGCCAGCCCCGTAGATCTCTAGCGAATGAGTCGGGTATGCATAAGCATACTGTCAGCAGCTGTCTTGAGCGCATACAATCTAGAGATCGCTTTTGGGACGGAACAGTGAGGGTGAGCCTTCGCCAGCTTGACCACCATGCTCACGTGGCCTAGGCTTGCTGACACGAGGCTGTGGCTCTGTGCTGCATGTAGCGATCCTACAATCATTATGCCACTCCAGCGCCTGATGGGATGCGCTTTGAGGACATGCTCCTCCCCACCACTGCGAATGACTCGGCCGGCTGCACCCATATTCTTTTCAGCAGCTTCTGCGCTGATCCCACCTGGCTACCAACTTTGGTGCCCAGCGGCTCGAGGGCACCTCATGTGACCCTTGTTGACGACATGCAGAAGGCGGTTGGTAGTCTGACGTTCGCGTAGATGTTGATGCTGTTGCTCATCATCCTCTCTCCTTGCAAATCGCAGAGCACTGCGGAGATCAAGAGATTGTGGCCGGCAAGCTGGACTTATGTTGCTCCCAAGCGGCCCAGAGAAGGAGCATGGGGCGTGCAGCACGTCAAGATAGTGATGTTGAAGTACCCTGATCGATTGCGCATCTGTATCTTGACCGGAAATTTGATCGAATACGACTGGTATCAAGTCGAAAATGTGAGTACAAGCACTCGCATGCTCGCGCCGTGCCCAGCAAGACGCCAAGACTGAGCCCTCAATCGCAGCTGGCATATGTTCAAGATTTTCGCAGGTTGCCAGAGGGCCAGGAAGCTGTCAGCAGGGCTTCGGATGCTTTCAAGCAGCTTGCCACTCTGTTCGACTCCTGGGATATGAAGTCTCAGGAGCACCCTTGCGTAAAAGCTCTCGAGCAGTATGATCTCTCGGCATTCGGGGGAGGCTCGGGTGCGCGCTTGTGTGCCAGCTTCCCTGAGCCAGGCCTGGCATCAGTCTGGGGATGGAAGTCGATCGAGACTCGTGGATTAGGCCGTTTGAAACGCATTATCGACGATCTCAAGATCACTCCGCGTCGAGGCGGCATGCAGCTTTTGACGCAGGTGTGTGACAAGCACGATTGGCTCGATTTGCTAATCGCGCTCACGCAGATCTTATCCCGCTAGGGCTCTTCGTTGGGTGGACGTAGCAACGTCTTGTGGCTACATCACCTGCACTTGATTGCATCGGGTCTTGGACGACTAGTGCCTCTGCCTGCTGGCACAAGCCAAGTAAAAGGAGCACATAAATCTGCTCTGAGCTCAGCAGCGATCCCAGAAGCCTGCGACACTGGAGAAGTTGTGGATTTTGGTGATTGGCCTCCGGTTCGCATTCAGTTTCCCACTCTCGCCCAAGTAGATGAGGCTCCTGGAGGAAGATCATCGGCCGGAACATTCTTTGCCAAGACGGCTGAAATTGACAAGTGGGTCTGTCGTAACGTTTCGAGTCAAACTTCAAAATGACGCTGACAGACCATCAGCAATGTTGCGATGTTGTTTCAGGAATCGACAAGTAATGCATCAGCCTGCCAGTCAGCGGGGCAAAATTCTCATGCATTTGAAAATCATCTTTGCCCTTCAGCCTGGGGTTACTTGGGAACCTTCTCCGTCGCCGTCACGCAAAGGACAAAGTGCGTCATCAAGTTGGTCCTCAACAGGTCGCACCTTGGGTGGTAGCAGCAGCGCCTCCACGGGGTCAGAGGCTGTTTGCATGCCACTTGATGCAGAATCAGCACGAGAGCAAGCCAAGCAGCGAGTGCTAGAGAAGAGGAGGAAGGCAGAATTCGTCGGTTGGCTGTACATGGGTAGTGCGAACTTGACAGCCGCAGCCTGGGGTCACATTAGCAAGCCGAAAGACGCTGGAAGCCCAACGGTGCGCACCGCAACGATGCTACGCCTTGTCACTAACATTGTAGCGCTGACAAGAAGCTCGAAAATTGCAGATGACTGGCCTGTTGAATCACGAGCTGGGAATTGTTTTTCCAATCTCGCGCGAGGACCTGAGCGCTGATCATCCAAGCTTTGCACGAGACGCGCTCGCTTTCCATCACAAGCCGAAGCCTTACGGGCCCGCCGACAAAGTGTGGGACCAGCAAAAGTTTGGCGTTGGTCCTTGACGACGCACGAATGATCTGCTCGAGATCTCTGTCGTCTCTCATCTCTCTGTACCATATCAGATTCCTCCGCACTTGTTCCCTTCTTCATCCAAGCTTGATCACACCAATCGATGACTTCATTGAGAGTGGAGACGTGTAATGTTGGTACAAAATGCGCGCGACGCGGTATGCTTCACCATTTGAAGTCACGTCACCCGAGCCTGTTGGTATTCTCCGTACCAGCCTTGGCGTGATCCTTGACCTGTGGGGCAGACTCGTAGACTATGTTCGTAGGAGCTTCTCCACGTGGTCCGAGAGACTCTCCTCGGAATCCAATATAGTCGATGCGCACCGTCTCGTCTCCCGAGCCGGCAGGGATGAAGATTAAAAGCTCCGAAACTGCAGGAAACTTTGGTGCTCTGAGGGGATACTGTGCGTCGGGTGCAAGAGGAGCGCGGACGAAAGTCAGAAGAGGAAGAAGGGATGCGTGGAAGCGGATGAACTACCCACCTCGACCACTTCTCGAGCTAAGGCTACACTTTCGATGCTCTGCGTCGGCTTGGGCACTCCTGCATTGGCATCGTCAAAGTCCAGGGTGGCGGGTGCGTTGGAGTACAAGTGCAGCTTGGCTGTGCGTCGGGGAGCCCAGACGGTCCAGGGACTGTCAGCGCGGCCTCCAGACAAGCTCGCCGTCACACAAGGCAGCCATAGCGAGAGGACTGATGCAGTCGTGTCCCTCTTACTCGAACTGCAAGCTCACTCCCTATTCGAGCCCCTTGCAAAGCGACTACTTACCAGGCGTCTGACCTGCCGGTCCAGCTTTGAGCAAAAGAGCTCTGAGTTTGACGCTAGAAGTGAAGGGGATGCGCAGCAAGATCTGATCATCCGCATCGCTCTGAAGACAATTCTCCAAGGATTCTTCATTTCTCTCATCCCATGGCTTGAAGATGCGTTGACAAGATGACGGGCGAGATTCGTTGAGGCACGTCACGCGGGGAATGTCGATGGAGAGAAAGAGCGAATCTTGTTGACCCTTTGGTGCGTGGCAGGGGCGTAGCGCATGAGGTGCGTCGGATCAGTGAAGGATCTGTCCTGATAACATGATGGTGGACCTTCACTCTGCTCACCTCCCCTTGCTTTAGATGATCATCGTCATCGTGCTCGCAACCGCAAGCGTGCCCATGTCCATGCCCGTGATCGTGTCCATGCGGCATCGTGGCGACACCTCGGCCAGATCGAGACTCGTCCAGAAAAGTCCAGCGGCCAATGGCAGCTCGCTTGCTACGCAGGGCTATCCAGACGGACGATGACAGCGACCTGTGGGGTTGAATCAGCGAATGGGACCTGAGTGTGTGAAGCTGTCCAAGAAGATGTGCTTTGAGGGAGGGTGTGGTGTGTTGGTTGGTTGGTTGGATGCAGCGCTGAGCGTGGGTGTTGCATGTGGAGGTGATGGAAGACGCAGAGGCGCGTGCGGGTATGGCAAGGCAAGGGTAGCAGTAAGTCTGAAGCCGACTCCTGTGGGTCGACGCTTGCAGCAAATGGCGGGCGGCATCATCACCAGATGCGACATCGCGTCCCGCTCGCACTGCGAACCACGACTCCAGCCAAAGCTGTCTGCGAGACTTGCACGGCCGCACGCACGCCCCCACCTAAGCTTCTCCTCAACCCCCTCACGGACTCGAAGATTGACTGCTCGACAAGCATCGGCGCTCATCACAAGACGAGGAGGACACGAAGCGCAAGACATGCCTCCCACATCCACGAGTCCTGCTGCCTCTCCTGAGCCGACATCGCACTCCACGCCAGTGAAGATCATCCTGCAAGACACGAATGACGTTGCGGAGCTGACGTACGATGCTTTGGACGAGTCTGCAGCACTGCGACATGTGAGGGATGCCTCTGCTGGTGGCACGGTGCTCTTTGTAGGCACCACGCGCGATACTTTTCAAGGTGAGCAGGTTCATGTCGAGCAGGCGCACGTCTGCGAATGCCGGGTGCCGTCGCGCAAGTGCGAGGTGATCAGAAGCCACCGAGAAGAAGGCACGGTGGTCATGAAGGTGTCTATTGGAGCGCACGGGTGATCTGACGTGGGAGACAGCTACTTGGTTCTCCATTCACAGGCAAACGAGTCCTTCGACTCGAGTACGAAGCGTACAGCAAGCTTGCCATCAAGACGCTCGAGAGCATTCTTCGACGCTCACGCAGCATAGAATGGCCGCCCCCCGCTCCTCTCACGACCTCCTCTTCTTCCAGTTCTTTACCATCCATCAGCCGCACACAAGCTCCCGACCAGCCCATCCCAGCATCGCAGCAAGTCACGCGCATCTTTATAGCTCATAGACTGGGTCACGTACCCGTGGGAGAGCCGAGCATCCTTGTTTGTGCTTCCGCGCCGCATAGGAGACGCGCCTTTGAGGTTGCAGAGTGGGCATTGGAGCAAGTCAAGAAGGATGTGCAGGTCTGGAAGAGGGAAGTGTACGGAGCTAGTTTGGACTCCGACCAAGTCGCGCCGGATGGTGTGTGGAAGGGGAACAAGGATGTCCAAGTCGTCTAACTGACAGCCACGCGCTGCTTCTGAAGACTGCTTGCTCATATCGATGCTTCTTCAGAATAGGTTTATACAGCCAAAGTCAGTGCAAGACGCTCACATTGCAGAAATACTGGACGCATTGATCGTAGGTCAGTCGATTAAGCACTGGCATGTTTGGCTTTTTGCGCGAGCCCTGGCCGATAGCCAAGAGCGACGACAAGCTTCAGCCCTCTACTGCGTCTTGCTCGAGATCTTCTCCGTGCACATGAAGTTGTGAGCGACTCGCCGCGTCAGAAGCTGGACTCGCTCGGGCAGACGCTCGATCGCTTCACGATGTCGACATACCTTCTCTGCCATCTGGTCTTTGAATGGTCAAACGACAATTATCCATAGTGGGGCCCTGCAGAAGCACGCGACGTCAGTGCTTACTCCGGCTGCAATAGATTTCCAACGGCGTCTCACCGATAAGCGAAGGCTCCATCCATTGGCTATGATTTCCATTTCGAACATCGCGAAGCTGGCTAAGCAGGCGCCACGACGCCATGCAAAGGTTTGAAAGCCTTGAACATGCATGCACGCCTCTTACGCACACTCACCGCGCTCGGTATGCGTAAGCTGCGCAAGAGGCCCATCCTCTCCATAGTGCCAACACGTCAAGCTGACGTCTCCGCTGCGCTTGTGCCAAGTTTCTTGCGGATCGAGTAGGTCGACCTCCTCCAACGCAATCTCGTCCTCTGTCGCTGCTTTCTTCTATCCACGAGAGACGAGTTTAAGAAAGGTTCAGTGCGGTGTCATCGTTTATCGATCTGTCCCAACCAACATCTCACTTTGAGACCTACCTTTCGTGCATCGGCTGCCCTTGAATGATCCTTGGCGAGTTGAGCTGCCAAGCGGGTGATGCAACGCCTCATATAAGCGCAGTTCACGCGACGGGCGTCGACGCTCTCGACTTCTGCTACGGAATATCTACAGACGCCTACGTCTTTAGCGTACCTACCAACGCACGGCGCCTAACCAAATTCCTCACCGAACGCCAATGTATTCAGCCTTCAACTCATTCCGTCTGAGGAAAGCTCTGCGAGAAGAGAGGCGATTAGTGGAGCTCTGCGAGTTCGACC